GTGTGTGTGTGAGAGTGTGTGTGTGTGTGTATGTATCACCTGGTGGATTTCCTGCCAGCCGTTCTCATCTGTCATCCCTGTAACCATGACAACAAGAGTGCCTCCAGTCAAGTGTTTTTTTCTCACAAAGACAAAAACCAACAAATAACAAACGTGTTCACACACTCAAGTTAGAGGCTCAAACTGTGATGTCATCACACACACACACAACCATGCAGATGTGGGCGTATTGTAACAATAGGAGCTGATTGGCCTCCTGTGACCCCCCCCCCCCATACCGATGGTTGCGTGGTCCTGCAGCAGCAGCTCGCAGCAGTAGGGGGCGCCGCCCACCATGGCAGAGTGATAGAGCGGCGTGAGTCCTCTGCTGTCTTTGTAGTCCGGAGACGCTCCGAGGTCCAGCATCGTCTGAAAACCAGGACGAGACAGGAAACAGGTTCAGCGCCACTTTGTAGACACTGCAGACTTGGCTGAGCACTAACGAAATCATCAGACAGGTAGACGGTCTAAACCTCTCTCTGGGAGACCTCCAAACACAGACTGCGTCTTAGATTCTGGATTTGATGGACCTTGAGTGAAACGGATGACATCAGCCTCGTTTATCCTGCTGTAGTTTGGAGAATCGGTCGTGCACGTCCTCAGAAATTAACGCTATGCGTCCGCAAGATGCAATATTTATTTGACCACTAGGAGCAGTGTAGAGTTTTACGGTGATGAGACGGGATGTGACGACCTCAGAGACTCCAGAGAGGCGCTACAACAATATTGCATCTTTTACTACTGTTACTTCAGCATCTTTTGCACTATTCACCACTGCACTGTTTGTCTTTTCTTATTCTGTTTATTGTTGATATTTAATGTTGTACCTGAACATAAGAGAGCACAGTTCACTGAAGTTAAATTCATGGTGTGTGTAAACATACCTGGACAATAAATCTGATTCTGATTCTGATTCTGGAAAGTTTTTAGATCAAGTCTTCAACAACCGCCGTATTCTGAGAATAAAGATTAGATAAACCTCCTCGAGTGTCGCCATGTTTGTTTCCACCGTGCTGTCACTGTTACAGAGTGGTGCGTGTTTCGCTCACGGTGAGGGAGGTGCTGTTCCTGCAGAGGACGGCCCGGTGCAGAGCCGTGATGCCATCTCTGGTCCTGAAGTCCAGGTGAGCTCCTCCACTGCGGAGGACTTTAATCAAATCACAGCTCTCCTCCAGCTGGACGGCGAGAGTCAGAGGACACTCTGAGACACAAACACAAGCGACACGCCGAGGTTATTACTGTCCCGAAATAAGAACAACATCACAGGAAAGACAATAAAGACGTGGGTACAGAGGACACGGGGGTCATGTCGTTAGAGACTCGTCAGGGAATGTGGAGGTTTGGATTACCTGAGGAGCACAATTATACACACACGTTACATAACGGCTTTTAATGTTATTTTGAATAGCAGGTTTTGAACTCATTCAACTGTTGAATTAGTCTGTCAAAGTTTTATTAAAGGTCACATATTCTTTAAATCCTCTAACTCAGTGTTACTCATTGCGCGGCTCGCCAAGCTTTAACTTGCGGCTCACACGGCAGTAAATAATTATTAATGCAGGGAATACAGATGTTTCATAAAAACACTCAAAACAAGTGCATGTTACATGTTACCCCTTTAAAACATTTAAAACTACTGCTCTTTTAAAAACAATTCATAAAAACGGTGTTAATAGATTAATGTTAAAAGCAAGCTGTTCGACACTGCAATGACTCAAGGCAGTGTTGCCAGATTTGGTGGCCTCTCCAGCACTATCATATATCACATATCATAAGAAGAGGAGGATATGTGACCTTTAAAGCTGACGTTAGCAGTGTGTTTTGTGATTCAATGCTTCTGTGTGTATTCGTTCTCACCCCCTGTGTCAGAGTCATGGAAGTTGGGGTCCAGGCCTTTCTCCAACCATTTTGAAACCTTCTCCACGTTCTTCTGATGAACATGCTCCATGAAGCGCTTCAGATTGGCCTGAAGAACACAAACATGGAGTCAGTGAGGGAGAACATGTTCATGATGAAACACTTTAAAAAGACATCCAGACACAAAATCTGTGTCTATATCTGCACTTAATGTTATTAAAGTGTGTGTGTGTGTGTGTGTGTGTGTGTGTGTGTGTGTGTGTGTGTGTGTGTGTGTACCTTGGTGTGTAGCTTGGCCAGCTGTTTATCGTCCACGTAGCTCTGCGTGTAAACTCTCCGCTTGTAACGAAACTGTGAAATAAAAAGGTGAAACATCAGTGCTGGTCTGAGTTCAGACGAGAGATGCTCACACAGATATTATTTATTTTTTATTTTCTAATGTCTTCATCGGAGAGAGAGGACAGTGATAGAGTGTAAATCCTTAAAGTAATAATAATAACAATAATAATAAATATATATAATATATTATAATATAATAAAGTACAGAGAATCTAAAGTGAGTTGAATTAGTTTGACAGATAAAGAAAGATAAAAACATCAGATT